GTGCCTAACTTGATGGGCCCATGATGCTTCAGGCCATCAGGGCCGAGATGCCACCTATGCATGGGCACGAGACTGAGGGGTGGATTTAACCATGGACACTATTTCCCAGATTATCCATGATTGTGAAACCTGTGCTGCCATTAAACAGGCAAAAAGACTGAAACCCCTATGGTATGGTGGACGTTGGCACAAGTATAAATATGAGGAGGCATGGCAGGTTGACTTCATCACGTTGCCACAAACCCGCCAAGGTAAATGCTATGTGCTTACCATGGTGGAAGCAACCACCAGATGGCTAGAGACTTATTCAGTGCCCCATGCAATGGCCCAGAATACCATCCTGGGTCTTGAAAAGCAAGTCCTGTGGTGACATGGGACTCCAGAGTGCATTGAGTCAGACAATGGGACTCATTTCAAAAATGATTTAGTCACCACTTGGGCAAGGGAACATGGTATCGAATGGGTATATCACATTCCATATCATACACCAGCTGCTGGGAAGGTTGAGAGGTGTAATGGACTGTTAAAAACTACTTTGAAAGCCCTAGGTGGGGGAACTTTCAAGAATTGGGATCAAAACCTAGCAAAAGCCACATGGTTAGTGAACACTAGGGGTTCTGTCAATCGAGCTGGCCCTGCACAAGCAGAATCCCTCCACATTGTAGATGGAGACAAAGTTCCAGCGATCCACTTGAGAGGAATGCTAGGGAAAGCTGTTTGGGTCACTCCTGCCTCAGGCCAAGACAAACCCATTTGTGGGATTTTTTTGCTCAAGGGCCAGGACATACCTGGTGGGTAATGAGGAAAGATGGAGAGATCCAGTGTGTGCCTCAAGGACATTTAGCCTTGGGGAAAAACTAATTCTGTGCCTTGAGTTGTGTTTTACAGGAGACCAGCCACCAGATGAGAAAGACCTGAATTAAGCTGATGCTGATATCCAATGATGAGACAGCCCAGAACAATGAATCAGCCCCAAAAAAGAGAACTGTGATTGTGACCGAGGAGACCAAAGATCTGAAATGAACTGATGTCGCTGTTGATCTTCAATGACAAAACAGCTGCTCCAAAAAGACAAAGACTATATATATATATGTATATATGCATGGAATATAGGCAACCGCGAGATATAGTATGAAATAAGGGGTGGAGAATGTGGTAGTTTTAATCTAGGTGACCAGTTTGTAACCAAGGAAGTGGCCATGTTCCCAGTATTCCATACAATTTTTACGTAAATCAGAGTATAAATAAGAAGGGAGGAGAGGCCTTTGTTCTCTTCTCTTCCGGCGAGGTTCAGGAGCAGTGGGTCCTTGCGTTGCTCTTGCTTATCTAGAGGCTGAGGCCTGCAGTGACTGCTGGTCTACCACGTGGAGGTTTGGAGAGTGCTGGCCATGTCTGGTGATCTTGCTTTTCTGAGGGACGTGGTGAGATTTGTTTTGCTAGTTCTTTATTTTGCTAGTCCTTGGGTTTGATTGTGTATATCTGTTCTGTGTCCCTTTTTTCCCCTTTCCCTTTGGGTGGTGTTTGGATTCCGTTCGCTGTGTACATAGCATTTTAATTGTATATAACTGTAATATACGTAAAAATATATATTTTATATAACTAGCTTGATTTCGGGTTCTTCAATTTTTATAGTTTTTTTTCCTTTGTTACTATGAGTTTGGGCATTTGGCAGGGAGCCAGGTCCGAACCATCACAGAACCTCATCCCTAAACAAGTGCACAATTCAGAAAAAACAGTAAAATATTTGCAAAAAGCGTACTGTCACCCTGGCAATTCCAGAGAGACACAAATCACTGCAATGTGCTGGGGCCTGACCCAGGCCTATCAAGTCCTCTTCAACGTGAGTCAGTACCCTCAAGAGGAAAGAAGGTCTCTGAACCCAATGACAAAGTGACAGGCCCTGCAGCTACTCCAACTCCTGCAACAGACACTGCAGCAGAACCAGAGAACCAACCTGCGCCAGTACTAGTTGCCCCTGTACACAAGAAGAAATGGACACAAAAAACACCTCAGTAAAGGAGGATAAAGCAGAGCCATCACAGGAACAGAAGGAAGAGACAGAACAAGACCAAGAGGTAACCAAGAGGAAATCAAGTATCTATCGACCAGAGCCTGAACTGCAAAATCCATCCTTCCCTTATATACAATACTGTGAGCAGAACAGTTTGCCAGGCTCTTTCATCAAGTATACTTCCATTTTTTGACCTGCATTTCAGAGACAACAGTTTGGGGGGAAGGGGGGGGGCAGGGAACAGGGACCCAACAAAGTTACCAATTAATTAAATATAAGTGCCCTTCCCATGCATCTTAAACTGAAAGCATTGACTTTATACAGCAAGATTAAAACCCAGGTCTATTAAATGCCATTTCAAGGTAGCATGTCCTCTGCTGCTGCCCCTGCACACAGAACAGCAGATGAACAGGCAGCCCTATCTTTTAGTTGATGATACAAATCAATCAAAAGGGTGCCACCTTGAGCTACAGCATGTTTTTATTATGCAAGCAGGACAGATGTAGATTTACAAGGTACAAACAACACGCATGAAAGAGACTGCTTATTCCTCACATAAGAAGTGCTTGACATGCTCTGTGCTCCAGCTCTTTACATACTGCTCTCAGAAATCACAGGCATGTTCTTGTCATTCATACTAACATTTGAAAGAAACCCAAGATAAACACATTGACCTGCTAAAAATAGAATCACTAAGACAAAATCAACTGTGATGAAGTTTCACAATTGGTTTAAGCCAATCTTTGAGAATTCACTTGACTTTCTCATCCACTCAGTCTCACCACTCCTGTGACAGCAACTAGTCCTTAGGTAGCTGTAAGGTCAGTTGGATTCTATTTCAGGTTTAATTACTGTTAAAAGACTTTTCATTATATAGCTAGGCCTTGCTTCTTAAGAGCTACCACATGAAAGCCTCCTGATGTGTAACTATGAATAATAACAGAACATCTGAAAAAAAAAAAAAAAACAACCACCAAAAAACAACACACAAAAACCCCCACCATCCCCCTCCTCAAAAAAAAAAACAACCAAAACTACAAAACACACAGGTCAGATCACTGAGCATGGTTTCTGGAAATTAAAAAAAAATCTTGAGGTAAAGAAACAATCACACCAACTGATATACTTTGAGGTTTAAGAGCTGCTTGATCTATACATTCTTTACAACACTCAATTAATTTCTGTGGCACTAACCAACTTGCAAAGAAGAAATTTGGGATCTTGCACTAATTCAATCAGAATTTCATACATGAAATTACAACCTCAGCCAATGAAGTTGGGTCACTAACTCCAGTAGAGAGAGCATTACTTAAGTGTGATCTTCTCCATTTATTATTCACATAGGACATTATTTTAATATTTCCCTATAAAGTGATGCTTTGGAAATGTGAAATCTGAAACATGATAGAGTCTGAAGTGGTTTCAATTTTTGCTAAAGCATCTAAAGATACATAAGCAAGGGAAGTTATTTGAACACTGAAAACAGATTTAGAGTGGAAAAAAAATTACAAAGTTAAAAGGCAAAGGATAATCCTGAAGATCTGAAATTAACTTTTTTCAGCTTGGAACATTTCTAGCTACTCTGAAGAATATCTGGAGCTTAACTATAGTTTTTAGTTTTGTAGTAACTTTTTTAAGTCACAGAATGACAGAATTGTTAGGGTTGGAAGGGACCTCTGGAGATCATCCAGTCCAACTCCCCTGCCAAGGCAGGGTCACCTAGAGCAGGTGACACAGGAATGCATCCAGGTGGGTTTTGAATGTCTCCAAAGAAAGAGACTATGACCTCCCTGGGCAGTCTGTTCCAGTGCTCCCATCCTCAATGGAGAGAAGTTCTTCCTCATGTTGAGGGGAACTTCCTGTGTTTATGTCCATTGCTCTTCATCCTGTCACTGGGCACCACCAAAAAGAGTCTGGCACTGTCCTCTGGGGACCTGGCTCTGAGGTATTTATATGCATTGACGAGATCCCTTCTCAGTCATCTTTTCTCCAGACTAAATAGGCCCAGCTCCCACAGTCTTGCCTCATAAGAGAGATGCTCCAGACCGAAGTCAGCAGCACAGAACCATACATAAAACCAAATGGTAAAACACTGAGAATAATGAAAATAGAGTCTTACTAGCAAGTTTTGCCAGGCATGTTAGCTACCATTTAGCAAAGTTAGCATTGTTCTGATAGGAGAAATAGAAACTTTACTTACACTATCCCAGAATGCCCAAATAAGGAACAATATAATCTTAGAGAAATCCTAGAGAATAAGATAAGGGATGTAACTCAAACAAGATGTAAACTAAGCTCTGTGTACCCAAATAAGATAAAGAACAAACACTATGGTTTTTGCGGTGAAACACAATGACGCTGTGCCTGCTCAAGAACTGAGGTCAAGACAACAGAGAAGACCCGGAAGGACCAAAGAAGGACTTCCAAAAGGGATGTGACTATGTAAAGTAAACTAATGAATATGTATTAAGTAAGCAAAAATATCTAATGAATATGTAAACAGTATGTGTAATAAAAAGCCCTGTCTGTCATTTGGCACATTTGATTACAGGAGCTATCCTCCAAACCTCCAGCATGCTGAGTAAAGAATGCCCTTTTTAACACCTACAAATTGGTGTTAAGGAGTTTGTTTCTGCCGCTTTAAAGTATCAGTTCATTAACTTCACATTTGCAGGATAAGAAGAAAGATCCAATCCCACTGTTGCTTGCCATCCTACAAATATATGTAAATCGCTCTATGTGGATTAGACAAATGTTACATAAGGTACAGGCCTCGCGTTCAGGTTTCCAGCCATCTGCATAGTACCATATTTTCAGAGGAGAATGGGTGATTGTTAAGAATTACCTTAATTCAAAATTAACTGTGCACAATTTGGACTCCACACCTAATTACTTCTTAATATTTTCCTTGGTAGTCTACATACTTCAATTATGATAAGCGTAATTTGGGGGTGGAAAAATTAACAGAGAAGAGAAAGGTGGCACTTACTGTGTTGCATTTTGTCCCACATACCACTTGTCGGTGGTTCAGCCACTGGGAGGCAAATACTTTATTAAGGATTCCAAGGTGAAATTCTCTCTCCTTCAGGAGGCTGGGAAGCTGCTGGGCTGCATACCCATGCAACAAGCGGTGGTAGCTGGACTCATTCTGCATCCTGACCTCTCTACCTTTCAAGTAGTACACCACAGATCTTTTCGCTGGGGGGAGTCTTTTCCTTTTCTGAACTGAGTTATCCCACCCATACTGTGGAAAAGAAGCATGGAACTTAAGCAACTAGAACAAACTTAAGACACAAAGCCTTCTAAATTCAAAGATACTCTCAGCAAAATACTGAAGCCTTCCAAACTACCCATGGCATACTGTACACGAAGATTAACTCAGGAATACTGATAAAGCCTTCAGCAACGTAAAATTAAACATAAATATTTGCTAAAGAAGTAACACTGCCATGATATTGAAAACAGTACACCCTGGTTTGGCACCGTTGGGACACCAGAAGCTTATAGAAACAAGAGGAAGCCAAGAAGCACTTTAAATGGAAAAGCAGCCCCGATAGCCTCCCGCCGTGAGCTCGGCAGGTTTGAAGATGACACCATCTGATACTGACCGCGCCGTTAATCGGCCTCTTACGGCCCGGCCTGGGGTCGCCCCGCAGTAACGCTCAGCTCCGGGGGGGCGGGGACTCGGCGGTTACGGGCCGAACAGAGAGCAGGGACAGGGGGAGCTGCCTGCCGTATCGCACCGAGACATCCTTCGCCACGGGGGCCAGGACTACTCCTCCCCACCATCCCCCACCACCTCCCGTCCTCCCCAGGACACCTTCCCTAAGCACTGAACCCCCTCCCCCCTTTCCCCACCTCAATCGGGCACCAGGACACGGCAGCCCCCCATCAGGGTCACCATAGGCACAGCACACAGGCTTCTACCCCTATACACTCGTTTCCGCCCCTCAGTCTACCTGCTCCCCCTGGAACCCCCCGGCGGCAGCCGTCGCCGCTTTCCGCTTCCTGCTAACTGCTTTTCGGGCCATAGTAGAAGAAGGAGGAGGAGAAGCCGAAGAAGATGAGAGCCAAACCCGGGCCCCACATGGAGCAGGAGGGGGAGAGGGCCACCGGGATACGGAGCATGTAAGTGCGGGGAACCGGGCCCAGTCACTCTCTCCGCCACAGACCCTACCGACTGCGCTTCACGACATTTTCCCTGAAATGTTTTTACGACAGTCGCACCGCTTCTTTACGACGGCTGCCCCACCCCGCCCCGCCCGAAAGCCTCGTTTCCTAGCAACTGGAAGAGGCAGGGCAGCGAGCTGGCCCACACTCTTTGTGGTTGCCAGGCAGCGTGGCTGGGGCGGGAACCCCTGGCGGCGGCAGCGGGAGCTCGGAGTGAAGCTTCCCAGCTTAGCCCCGTGTCCGTTTCCTGCTGCCCTGCATGGATCGGCGGGGCTGGCTGGCAGCCTTCCCGGCCCCCGACAGTTTAAGCATAAGAGAGGCCCTATATTATCAGCACCGTTTCCAGCACAAATCCAAACCTGAGCCCCATACTAGCTACTGTGAAGCAGATTAACTCTACCCCAGCCCAAACCAACATAGTGAACATTTACTTAGAGCCAGCCTGTGAGCATATTCCTGTTGATTGTTTTCGGGGGTGGAGTGGGAGCTTCAGGCTAAGTTTGTTAGAGAAGCCCTCCCGTTGATTCACGAGGTGCAAAAAGGAACCCCTCGCTTTCTAAACTCCTCAGAGAGGAGCCTGGCTGCAGCTGGATCCAGTCTTAGCCCCAGACTTTGTTTAAGTCTAAGGAATTATAGAGGTGCGACTGAACCTTTGTACAAATTTGTCCCACAGGATTAAGGATGGCAAAACAGATATATTTATATAAAAATGAATGATTGATTACGATAAATGGTTAGACAAAAATATCTTAATCAGAATTATTTACTATGCAATATAGAAGCTAAAACTACTAGTGCATTATATCAAAGCAATTCTATTAAAGCAATTATATGAAAGCAATTGTATTAAAGATAGAAAAAACCCCAAACAATTATTCAGTAGATATTGATGTTACCCACACCAACAACCACATGCAAATCTCTCTCACTCAGCTTTGAGGAGTAACCTTGAGGGGCATTCCCACTCAAGGGAAGAATCTACACACACACACTCCAAGAAGGGGTATGTTAAAAGAACCTGATGTATTAAAGCGGGACTGGACTTTTATAGTATAAAGTGATTGACTGTCAGTCAGATGTCTCCAGACCAGCTGTGTCATCTGTAGCATTTTTAGATAAGGATACTTTACCATATCTGCCACATATTCACCTCAATATCAGGATGTTTAACTTTGGGGTTGATGAATCAGACTGCTTTTAGCATAATTCAACACCAAAAGCAGCATGACACACCCTCTCAGTCCACCACTGATAGCATTGCAAAATAGGGCATTGTTCGAGTTGTTTTACCCCCTTCCAGGCAGAGCATCCTGCTACAATTGTAACATGCATAATCTATACTGAAATTCTCCATCTCTCCTGTGGGAAAATCTGACCACAAGCATAAAACACCTCTTCCTCCTCTTCCACTGCTAGCCCAGAGGGACTAAAGCCTGGCACTGGCTTCCCTTAGAGAGACCCTTTTAAGTAGCTTGGCTTTATCACCTGGCTTCTCAGAGTGAATACAAGAGCCCAGTGCATTTTGCTTGATGCACAATGAGGGGCTTAGTGTCGTAAAATGCTGGGAGACACGAGCCAGGGCGATGCTTTTAAGTCTCGATTTATTGCTTCAGTAGCACTGCTTATATACGTTACAATCTATATTTGTAAAGTTCTGATTGGTCCACATTAGTTATTTTCTACAGAATCATTGGTTATATAGAACAAAGAAACTTACTATGATTGGTTAAAACTCTTAGCAACACATAATTTGAAGTAGGATAAACAACAGAATATGCTACATATTTTAAGGCCATAAATGTCAGTCTCTAAACATAAACATCCTTGAAGTAGAGCAGACTCTTCTTGTCCTTCCTTCTTATCTCCAGGACGGCTTCATCCTGTGCCCTTGTCCTTTTCCATCTGCTATCTGTATCAGTTGCAGAGTATCTGCAGCTTCATGACCTCGTTCATGTAACCATTCTCGAGCAAGGTTCTCCACAGCTTAGTCAATCTTTGAGGTACTCTACTCCACCAAGAAACTCCCTTATTATAGGGGAATTAAAGGGCATACAAAATATTTGTAATTGATTATGCTTCTTTAAAAATGATGTGGATGGATGTGTGCTTTTCCTTATGTTCACGTGGCTCATATGTACTTTTTCCTATGCTTATAGAGGAAAAAATTAAGAGTAACCCAAACCCAATGATCACCAACGAGTGACATTGTAGAGAAAAGAAAAAAGAATACAGAAAAAGAAACGTGTGATGTACAGGCAGACTGCAAAGAAAGCCACCTCCTGACCACTTGAAACCCTCTGGTGTCTCAAGTCATACGAAATCAATAAACATACTATTTTCCTAATAAAGATGGCATTTCTTTTATGCCTTTTTTGGGGTATGTTTTCACCTAACAAATCTCAAAGACAAGTGCAAGGGTAGAAGACCCTTCCATAAGATTTATGGCAAGGAGATCAGAGATTGTTTTGCTTAGGAAGACTTTCCTGCCTAAAAGAGGCATCTTTCCCAGAGCCAGTTTTAGATGTTTTCTCCTCCTGCATTCCAGAGAAATTCTCCCTGGTATAAGCAAAAGATAAGTCCCTGCAGACTTGTCGAAGGCCTTCACAGAGGGAGGAGCAGGGATGATAAAAGCCCTGAGAAGAACAGGGGTGGGGGTGGGGGCGGGGTGTCTTTCCCCAGGGCCCAGTGTTTGAAAAGCCATTAAGATTAATGTTCTGTAACTCTAGTGTGCTCGACTTTGGAAAAAAAATTTCCTACAATTCTTCTACTTCTTGCCATTTTTGGGGTACCTGTGTGTTATCTTACTTCACAACAAGGGTGCTGTTGTTGCAAATGGTTTGATAAAATAATCAAGATTTGATAATATAAAAGTAGTTGTGATTAAAGGTAGAGAAGCATGATGTACTAGAATTGCTAGGGGTATTGTGTTTGAAAGAATGCAACTGATTCAAAGAAATCCTTAAAGAATATGTAAAGCACACTTTTATTACGGCCGGGGAGATGCAGGGGGTTTTGCTCCCCCCCCCCCCGTGCATACCACCGAGTAAAGAAACACAACAGCTTTTTATACATTTGAAGGAGTGAGTCTCAAAATTATCTATCATATACACTCTTTACAAAGTCTGCCTTATCTAAATAGACATTTGGTTGCCTAACTCCTATTCTTACTACTATAGAGTAGTTACATAAAGTTTTATCATTTCAAACAGCTTAGGTTTCCCCCCACCCTTCTTCTGTCTCCCTTACGATGCTACATGCTAGAAGTCTTTCCCGCTTTCCCTGACAGTCCTTTTTGTTTATGTAAGCTAGCTTTGGAGCCCCTGGTGGTCTAGTGGTAAAGGTGCGGTGCTATCACCGCCGAGACCCGGGTTCGATTCCCGGTCAGGGCCACTCCCGGGCAGGTGGAGCTCGTTAGCCCTTAAAGGCAACCCACCTACGTCTTAAGGACCTCGCTGCCACCGTCCAAGCTCGCTTGGCCACGGCAGATGAACCTTAGGATTAAAGGATGGGCTCAGTTCCGCGCACACTGTGTCTCACCTAAAAAAAAAATCCAATGCGCAGGCTGGAAGGTGTAAAGACCTTCCCCGGATCTTCACTCGTGAAGACTGGCCATTAAAGCTAGCTTTATTTTAATTGTCCACAATTTGGGCAGCAATCTTTTTTCAAGTAGTTACAATCTTGCAAAGTCACACTTAACATAGCTAAATTTTACTAGCATAGCTAAATTTTTATTGTATTTTATCTTGTCTTTATTTCACAACCACAACAACTTCGCCAAGAAGTTGCTGGACCATACAAAGTTGCTTTGAAGTGCCCCGCACCCTCCCCATCTTGGTCCAGGAACTGTGGATCCCAATTAGTATAGCTAAATAGTATAGACCAATGATTGTCGTAGGATAATGAAACAGACAAAATAAAGCTTAACCATATTAGCATAACTTTTTGAAACTTAGCATAAGTGTGGCTTTGCAAAATGTAACTGTGGGTTGTTAAGATAAAGGGGATGTAAAGGCTTGAATGAATGGGTAAGATAAGGAAATGTAATGGCTTGCAAAAGAGACCAAGAGGAGGCCAGAAAAGAAGCGCTTCAGCACAGTAGTAATCAATAACTTTGCAAGGGAAACGGGAGATGGGTAGTGGTATAGTTGCTTAAAATGATAAGGCTTTATGTAACAACCGTATAGTAATAAGTATAGGGAATAGGTAACCGAATGTATAATAAGACAGCTACAAACTGGACTTTGTACTGATTCTAGAAGAATGTATATGATAGATAATATTTGAAACTTGCTTTCTCCAGTGTATTAAATGTTCTCTTTTTTTTCACTTGTTGGACACACACATGGTGGTTCAACCCCTGCGTGGCCACAGCCTCAATAAAAGTGTGCTTTTCTATACAGTACATACTGTGTAGGTGTAATAGAAGGGTTAACTTTATTCATAAAATCTTACGTGTATGAGGGAATAAGGAACTTTTGTTATAATTCAACAAGATAAGTTTCATGGACATCCTGTTAATCAAGCAAGTATCAGTAAAAATAATTGCAGACATCTTGCTAAGCAAACAAGTATCAGTATCAGTAAAATTTACAACTGATAAGAAACTGCACCTTTCATCTCTGACAAATACCAGATGACCACTTAAGAATGAGCTACAAACTCAAGCCTCAACGCAGCCACATTAAAACCTTGGGACTTGGAAATGTATAAAAAGGAACATTTACTACATTTTGGTGTGTGCTTCGGCAGGGCACTTGCCCTCCAGGCCACCCAGCGCTGTTTTGCTTTATTATCGCTTGCTTAATAAATTTATCAATGTTTAATTGGAATGGAGTTGTCTAAATTCTTATACTAACTTATAACAATTTTGGTGCATTGGCCGGGAATCCAATTTGCTTTGGTGTGGACTCCTGCAGAACAGGGAGGCACCCTATCTCCGGATAGCCCTGCTCTGAAGGCTGTTCTCACCAAACTCTGGATCAATGAACCTAATAAAATTTCGATAATAAAGCAAAAAAAAA